AATTAGATGTCAAGCCACACTGATGAGCTGTGATACAGTGAAACAGTCTGTTTGAGGATTATATATATATATATATATATATATATATATATATATATATATATGCGATGGATAAATTTTCGTCTAAATTACGCAAAAATTAAAAATAACACTGACATCTCATTTTACAGATATATTTACCAAAATTACACAAAAATATCTTGAAATATTAAAGAGTAATTTCTTCGATAAAATCGAACCACAGCCTCCAGTCGGAATCACTTGCAACTCTTCTGGACGGTCTCCTTGTTTAAGTTGGTGAATGCTGCCATAATCATTACCTTCAGTTCATCTTTGGTATTACAAGTTTTCTTGGTCTCTTCCTCAACTGCGCCCCACACATAATAATCAAGGGGGTTGCAGAGGGGAGTTTGGTGACTAGTTGTAAAGGGTAATGTGGACGCAGAAATTGTCTGTAAGCCATGACTGTGTTCTCCTGCTTGTGTGGAATGGTACAGAGTCCTGTTACCGGACATAGGATCTTCCAGCAGCCATTCTCTTGACCCTGAGCAGCACTAACTTCTCAAGGCATTTGATGTAGGCCCCCGTGTTGAGTCTCAGGCCCTGCTGGGAAAATGAATGGAGGCATTTATCGCCATCATCTAGTGATTTTTCAAAAACATGGTAATCACCATTAGATCATCCAACTCTTTCCGAATCCTCTGCACTGTCCTCAGATTGACACCCAAACACTCTGAAATGTTTGTATTGGAGCTTCCGGCGCGAATGCCAAGCAGTACAGCATGCCGTTTCCAAATTTCTGGTGGAGTGAATTGCGTCATGGTGCTTTTTTTTTTCTCACAGATGGTGCCCAACTGACCCTACTATACTGTGCAGTCGACAAAATCAAAAAAAAAATGCACGAAATTAAAAAAATTAAAAAATATAAAATGGCGACAATTTACCCATCGCACCCTATATATATACAATATATATATATATATATATATATATATATATAAAATGATATATTGATAAAATTTTTATATATATATATATATATATATATATATATATATATATATAATGTATTTAATGTATATATATATATTTTTATTTAAAAAAATATAATATTGATTTCTTAAAAAGGGAGGTTCATAAAAAAATATATATATATATATATTATATATATATAAATAAATTTGATATATATATATATTATATATAAAAATATATATATATATATATATATATATAATATATTTTTTAATAAATTAACACACACACACAACACACACACACACACAAACACACACATATATATATATATATATATATATATGAATTTGCATAAAATTTAAATATTTTAAAGGATAATTGGTTTGGAAAAGGAATGAAAATTGCCAGAGTTCAATACATTTAAATTTGACTTTATTTAAAAAAATATGGAATTTTTATTAAAAGTATTATTCATAATTCAAAATAATTTAATTTTTTCCAAACAGGGAAATTTTATAAATTTTTGGGTGACATTTTTCAAAAGAAGAATTTTTTTTAAATTCAAAGAAAATACTTGTTATAAAAGATATAAATTAATGATGCATATATTTGTATCTCTGTAATCTGTTTTTCTGTAAAGCATGATTGTTTCTGCATTAATGTATTTTGAAACTAAACCAACAGAATGAAAATTTTTTAAAAAAATTTTTCTTTTTAGAATGGTGTTTGCATTAATTTATTCATTGAAAAATTAATTAAATAAAAAAATAAAATAGTAAATTGATATTTTGAATTTTGGAATAAAAATTTTGCTAAAAATTTCTAGAATAAAACTAATAAAAAATTTAATTATATATTTTTTAGTTTTAAAATGAATCAAATTATACGTAAAATTTTTTAAAATATATATAATAAAAAAATTATATATTTAAATATTGCCGTAATTGTCATATAAAATAGGCAAACATTTTCACTTCAATAAGTTAAAAAGTAGTCCTTTTAAAATAAATCATATTTTTTGATCATAACAATATATATATATATAATTTATATAAATAAAAAAGGAAATTTAATTCAAATATGCTTCACTTAAATCGAAAAAAGATATCTGTTTTTTTAAAATTTTATTTATATTTTTTATTAAGTCATTTTAGACAATAGGTTTTTTAATTATATATGTGTAACCGTAAGTTATATATATATTTGTTCTAATAAAAAAAAAAAATTTAAAAAATCGTGTTCCAGTTTTCCCCCTCGCATTTAAAAATTCCTAAAAAATGTCGACGTTATTTTATTTATATGAAAGGAATTTGAAATCCAACGTCCATTTTGAAAAAAATGTTGGAAAAAGAAATGATGTTTTTTTATTTCTTTTTTTATGGGAGATTTCAATATATTGTTTATTAAGGCAGGATGTGAATTTCTATCATTTTTTTTTTAATCAGAGAGTTTAAAAATTAAAAAAAAATATTTGTTTGAAGAAAATATAAATAATAAAAAAGAAGGAAATCGAAAAAGAAATCAAAATTAGAAAATACATGTCGATTGACATTATATTTAAAAAAAAAAAGATTATAATTATATCGAAAAATAAAGAAAAATATTTTGAACAAGAAGGGAAGTGCGTTTCAAAAAAATAAAAAAAGAGTTAGATGAAATAAATTCCATTTCGAAGTTTTGACAAACATTGGGTTTTTAAATATATATATATATATATATATATATATATATATATATATATATATATATATATAAATAAATGTAATTATTTATTTAAAAATATGATTCCAATTTACATACATTTTCTTATGTTTCAAAATTTTGGAAAAAATATAAAGAAACAAATTAATTTTAAATTGAGTTAAAATAACTGTTCCATCTGAAATTTTTAAAATTTTTTTTGGAATAAAAAATGGAATTTTGAAAAAAGTTAATTTTAATCATTAAAAAAAATCAAAATAAAATGGTAACATTTAAGGCGAATTGTTTAAATAAATTACCAAAATGGCGTGAAAAGAATTTTTTAAATTACATATCAGTATATGTATAGTAAATTGAATTAATTTAAAATTGAGAAAATATTTCCTTTATTTTGACCAAATATTTAAATATAATATATAAATATATATATATTATATATATATATATATATATATATATATATATGAAAAACAAAAATGACATTTATAATTAAGTTCTTAAATTTATTTGGTAAAAAAACAGTGCTCGATACAAAAAAACCTTTTAGAAAGAAAAATTTTAAAAAAAAAAAAAAAAATAAATTTTTTAATTAAACCCTACATAAAAAAATATTTGAAAAATATGGACTTATAAATTATTATAAATAAATTTCTAAAAATATATTTATAAATAGCAAAATTGATAATGGAATATCTTTTCAAAATATTTTAAGTTTAATTTTACGAATTAATTTGAATTGAAGTTAATATTTTGAAATATATGAATTTCACTATGATAAAATATATTTTTAAAACAACAATTCTCTTTTATATATATATGTATGTGTGTGTGTGTGTGTGTGTGTGTGTCTGTAAAAACTTTGTAGTCACCGACCACGTATAAAAAGAAGAACGAAATGTTCATAAAATTTTCTTTTTTTGCCTTTGAAGCATAATTTTAAATAAATTTTGTATTTTATTTAAATATAAATATATAAAATATATATATATATATATATATATATATATATATATATATATATATATATATATATATATATATATATTAATATTAACATATCCACAAAAAAAAAAAAATTCCTTTTACGTCACTTTTCTTTTAAAAAAATATACATTGGCGCAGGTATTTAAAAATGACATCAAACGAAGAATGTTATCAATAATAACAGTTTAAAAAACATTTCTTGATTTAAAAAATAAAAAAACAAAAAATTAATGTCGAAAGTTGAGATTTACTGTCTGTTGTAGAAAGCTTGAAATATGAGCACCTGCTTACTACTTTACGCTTTTTGCTCTCTGTCAGTTCGTTGTAGATTTTTAAAGTTTCCTGAATTTGCCCATTCAAAAAAGATGTAAAAACTTTTCTACAATTATTCCGACATAGAATTATTAGAAAAAAGTTTTACGGTTATTTTTGGTGTGGGAATGACTCGTTTTTTTTTTCTTATACAAATAAGTAATAGTTGATTGTCAGCTAATGAGAACTTTTAAAAAAAAAATTAAAAAAGATCAAAAGTAAAATAATATAAAGAAAAAGAAAAAAAAAAAAAAGAAAAAAGAAAAGAAAGAGATTTAAGATTTGCAAATGAGAAAATAAAAGAAAAGAAAAGGAGAGAAATAGAGAAAGTTTATTTAAACGTTACTATTCAAACGAGAAAAGAAAGAGAGAAGAAAGAGAGTATCTAAATCTGAAGGAAGGGAAATAAAAAAAAAAAGGAAAAGAAAAAAAGGAAAGAGACAAAGTAAGAAAATGACAGGAAAAAAGAAAAAGAAACGAGAGAAAAAGAAATTAAGAAAAGGATAGCGAGAAATAGAAAGAAAATGAGAATGAGAAGAAAAAAGACTTTTTAAAAATAAGAGAGCCTAGAGAGAGAAACAAACAATAAAACGAGAAAAAAAATAGAACGAAAAATTAAGAAAAAAAAAAAAAAGAAAGATAGAAAAAAAAGATAAAGAGAAAATAAATAAAGATAGAGAGAGAAGAGAGAGAAAGAGAGAGAGAGAGAGAGAGAGAAAGATTAAAACGAGAACGAGAAATAGAACGAGAGGCAGAAAATTTTGAAAAGAAGAACGAGATAAAATGAGATTAAAGAAAAATATGAAAGGATAAAAAATTTGAGAGAGAGAGAGAGAAGAAAGAAAGATTTTTTGAGAAAATGAACAGAGGCAGAAAAGAAACAAAAAAGAAAAAAATAAAATGAGATAAAGAGAGTGATAAAAAAAGACACCTGAGGTTTAGAGAAGATTTTGATATATTAGAGAGAGATAAGAATGAAAACGAAAAAGAAATAAAGAGAGAAAATAGAGAATAAAAAATAGAACGAGAGAGATAGAGAAAGGAAAAGAAAAAAGAACGGCGAGAAGCAGAAAGAAAGAAAACGGGAACAGAAGTGAGATAAAGAGGAAGAGAGAGAAAGGTAGGGAGTGAGAGAAAGAAGGAGAAGGAAAGAGAGGGAAAGAAAGAGGAAGAGAGAGAAAGGTAGGGAGTGAGAGAAAGAAGGAGAAAGAAAGAGAGGGGAAGAAAGAGAGAGAGAGAGAGAAAGAGATGGGTATGTGGGAGGTTTAGAAATGAATGGGTGAAAAGTTTTTTAAATTGTGCTATTGTCGGTGGCGGGAAAATCATATAAGAAGTATTCATCTGGGAAACATGCAAGATTTTTAGTGCGTAAATACATTTCTAAGAATATAAGTACACACGAACGAAGCAACACCCAACTCTTACGCATAGACAGTGACACATACCAGACTTTTTTTTAAAGACAAAGAACGAAAAATAACTCCCAAAATAAAAAATATTTCTACATGATCAATTAAATTATTTTTATTTTGCTGCTTGTACGAATAATTTTCAAAATAACTGACCATTAGCTCTTACACACAGAAAACATTCTTAAAATATAAATAGTCTTTATTGATCGGAAAATAGTGATTTCATTAGATTATGTAATATGTTCCGCAGCTCATGGGCAACACTGGTTAACCTGACATAAGAATAGTTTGAAAAATCTGATCGAATTCATCGAATCTCTGAAGTAGCACTAATATATATATATATATATATATATATATATATATATATATATATATATATATATGCACATTTCATTGCATATGACAGACAAGGTGCTTTTATTTATTTTTTTTATACAATTTCTCATGTGATCTAATATTTTTTTTCTTTTCAGATGATAAATTATATAAAAACTGTCCAAATGTTTTTTTTCCGAGCGCTTTCGGCTATACATTTAGCCATTTTCAAGGATTAAATATTTTAGCTGTTAAATAAGAAATACATACAAGCAACAAACTATTTCTTAATTAACAGTTCAAAAGAGGATTGCTGCCTAAATTTTAATAAATATATATACATACATACATATATATATATATATATATATATATATATATATATATATATATATATATATATATATATATATATATACAATATATATATATATATATATATATATTTATATACGGAAGTATATATATATATATATATATATATATATATATATATATATATATATATATATATATATATATATATATATGTATGTATGTATGTATATATATATATATATATATATATATATATATATATATATAATGCCAATTTGTAATTGGTATGGATAATTCAAGGAGGACATTAATCAAAAGAGAGCACAATGTAAGTTACAGAACGATATTTAATAAATCAAGAAAGAGTGAAAAAACTCTCTCCACCATGTCTCTCTCTCTTACCTCTCTCTCTCTCTCTCTCTCTCTGTTTATTTTTTAGAATTATATTTAATTTTTTAAATTTTTCTTTCTTCCTTTTTTAAAATTAAAATGTTCCTTTTTATTCTCTTTCCTTTTTTCTTTTACCCTCTTTTTTTCTCTCTTTTCTTTCCTTTTTTCCTTTTTAATCCGATACATCTGTCTGGATGTATTGATTCCATTTCATTCGATCTGAAGAGATAAATATTAAAATATTTATGAAATAAATCATAACCAAGGTGGATTTTTAAGATTTTTCATGATTTATTATATATATATATATATATATATATATATATATATATATATATATATTCTAAACAAAACAATAAGCTAAAAAAATTTACTCCATCGCCTGTAATAATTGCCACAAAAAAAACATAGGAGAAACCTCAAGGAATCTAAATAAAAGATTATATGAACACAAAAGGGTCATTTTACAAAACAGTATGTCAAATGCTTTGGTTGCCCACCGTAACGAGACTAACCAACATTTTGACATAAAAAAAAATGCTACTCTAAGTAAATTTGCGTCTTAGCTCTTACAACGTTTCACCATTCTTGGCAGGTCTTCTATTATCACAGCATAACAAAAGTGATGGAAAGAAAAAGACTCTAATTGAATTCGGCTAGATATATAAAAAAAAATACAAATTCTAACACTCCCAGCATCCCTCTGTCGTGCGCATGTATAGTCCTACCAATATAACAAATTTAATCCGATGAAGTACGGAAGGACGAAACGCGTCACAAGTAAACTTTTCCACTTTGTCATACAGTTTCCCCAACATTGTTCTTGATATATAAAAACATATCGTTATCACATATATATATATATATATATATATATATATATATATATTAATAAATATACATTTTTTGCACGTGACAATCTTCAGGCACGAACTGAAAACTGATAGTTGTAAAATTTAAATATTAATTTTATAACCTATTGTTAAGTTAGTAGAGCTGTTTTTATATATATATATATATATATATATATATATATATATATATATATATATATATATATATATATATGTATATGTATATATATATGCATGAGAGTTAAAACCAAAAGGTGAAGAAAAAATATATATTAATTATTTATATGAATTTTACCTTTGTTATTTTATATCGAGAAGTGTTTTAAAACTACCACTACTTAGTGTGTTTATATATATTATATATATATATATATATATATATATATATATATATATAATACACACACACACACACACACACACACACACACACACACACATATATATATATATATATATATATATATATATATATATGTTAGTAAACCATAAAATCCCAAATTACCTCATATGGGGTATAGATCTATTTCAACCAACGAAAACTTCGTCAGTCTTATTCAACCCCGGTATACAGACTGAGTTCGTGTCGGAATTAGAAATTTAACTGTGACACCTATCGCAAAATTAATACACAATTTATCCATTTCAATGTTTCAGTTAGACAAGGTTGAACCATATAATTTTTCTTTATCTATTTCTGTGCCTATATTTAACTTTAGATACTTCAGTATTACTTATGGCGGTTAGATAAGATCATTTATTTTTAAACCCACTTCAATAGAGTGCATTTTCATACTGTTCTTTATTTTTATTAAAGATGTTTATGTCGTACGATAATCGACTAATCCTAGTGCTGACAGTGATGAGTATCTGTCTCACAATGGCATTGGGGTGGTTAGTGTTATCATTAATATAGTTGAGGGTTTCATTATCTTTATGGTATAGTTTAAACGATTTATTATTGAGGTTAAGGGTGATGTCTAGATAATCAACAATTTTAAAGTTAGAAGAAATCTCAGTCCTAAACACTAGTAATTTAAAGGCCCTAATGATTTTCTTTTGTATCCTCGCTGTTAGTGAACCATTACTATTGGGGATGAAAATGAGTCCATATATAGGCCTATTTGTTTAGGATCTACAATTCTACTAAGTGTATCTAAAATATAAAAACATACTAAATCAGCAACCTACGCTGAATCATATGTCCCCATAGGGACAACAAAATCGTCATTAAGGCACTTAATCCAAGTGGAATTATTAAGAGCTAACTATGATTTTCTGGCTGTTAAGATGATATTAGTCTCCTCATCTGTGAACTCCATATAGTTTTTTACAAAATTAATACAATTAACCAAGACATCCCTGGAGATAGGGCAATAGAAATTATATTATTATTATATCTTATATTTTTTTCGCTGTATTTGAAATTATAAATTTCGCACTGCGCATTTTGCAGAGTCTGAGCATTTTGCAGAGTCTGAGCATTTTGCAGAGTTATGAATTATATATATATATATATATATATATATATATATATATATATATATATATATATATACAAGAGGGTAAATCAGAAAGAAAAGACAATTTTGGAATTTTCTGGTAAAAATAAGAGTGAGACGATAACGTGCGTCACCACGCGTGAGCATGGAATACAGGTAGTTGGCCGTGCTCAGCTTTTCATCGTTCAGTCCTGTCGTAATGAGCAACGAGGTCAGACGTATGGACACTTCGCTCGGTGGTCTTCTGTTCGGAATGAATGATAAAGACCGTTGAACTCTACCAGAAGTGCATCGCGGTACATGTCGAAAAGTGACCATAAGTATTTGGTCTTCAACAGTGGAAATAAATTTTGTATAGAAAATGTCTTTTTTATTTACCCCCAATATATATATATATATATGTGTGTGTGTGTGTGTGTGTGTGTGTGTGTGTGTGTACATAGACATAAAAAAATGTATCCATTAATAATAACGCCTTTTCTTATCTCCATATATCTAGAAGAAGTGGTCTATTTTTTAAATCCATACATATATATAACATTTCTAATATATATATATATATAGATAGATAGTCGAGTCAAAGCACAATACTTATGGCCTGAAAATTGCGTTTAAGCATGAAGAAGACTGTCGTCGTTGGGTGTTCACTTCAATGTTGACTTTTATAATTTATTCTATATTTACATACACTCTGTCCCTGATATTGAGCATTTAACCATAGCTTGGAACGAAAAACTTTTTATCATTCATATATATATATATATATATATATATATATATATATATATATATATATAAGGCAGGATGTGTGTGTGTGTAACGAATGCACGACCGCAATTTTCGACGGATTTGCACGAAAATTGACATGCACATGCTCCAAGTTTGCGGGAAGGCCAAGACCGACATTGCATTTCCCAACTCCCATCGATAGTGGAAATAATAGATTTTTTTTCATGCTTCTACGGCAGTTTTCATGTAGTTTGCGGCCATTTTCTACTGATCAGAGTGAGAGCCTATAGCTGGCTGCCATGAATAGGCAGGAAGATTCTATTGGCCAGCGTGAGAGCCAACAGCTGACTGACACGAATGTTAACTAGCATGTTAGCATGCAAAAAAAAAATCGATAGCTGCATTCGTCACAAGTGGGAAAAATTTAAATCTGCATGGCACTTTACTCCAATTGGCTCATTCGCTTGCTTAAACTCAACGTTGATTCTGATTCCGCAGAACTGGGTTGGGTGAAAAAAAGTATTTGTTGTTAACATTCTTTTTTTCATTTGGTTTTTCCAGTTACGAGTCCTTTTTTTAAAGCTGATCGTTTTGTGTTCATTTTGTTTAGTTCTTTTTCGTAACAGATTTAATGTTTAGTATAGAGCTTAGAAAAAAATTCGCAGTGTGAGATAGGCAAGAATTAAGGCATGTAGCACCATCAGCACGGCAAAGAACACTCCTTTAAAGGCAAGGAAGGGCAAAAATATTTTAAGTCAAGTGATAACGATTGCTGTATGAGTCGTACGATTTTTTAATCAAGCACAGGCAACGACGGG